TCTGATTCAGAGGCTACCGACGGCTGGTTTCACTGCCCCAGGACAATTGCCCACAGACAAATGCCGCCGATAATATAACACTGGTCATATTCATGTTTATAAAGATTTGTGTCAGTACTCTATTCAGACGTGCTCCCAGTAGCATAATACGGGACGATTATATATATACAAGGAAACTTGTCCAAACTCTGTTCAGAACAACCGCTGATAATATAATACAGGAAAACTACATGTGTGTATGACTATTTTCCGTAGTCCAGTCAGAACCGCATGTAAATGTAAATATTTTCTGTACTCTGTTCTGCACCTTCACCAAGCCCTAAGGAAATCATAAGATATAGTAGTGACATGCATTGTGATCGTGAAGGAGCTGTGCCGACGTTTCAAATAAATATCCACAATATCCTTTTGCTGACACTTTGTTTTGGGTGACACACTTTTTTATTTGTGTGTATGTTTTCAACACTATACTGAAGTAATAAGTTATAAAATAATATAGATATTCTTAGAAACACTTATACTGGCCACCAAATATGAAATCATGCGACCCTGTCTCTTGTAGTACATACACTACTATTATAAAGTTCTTCGGGAAGAGAGTAGAAGCATTGTTAAGCAGTTACATATGTCAGTGCAACAAATGTGAAGTTGTCTCGATTTCACACTACACTCTTTTAGTAGTTGTTTATAGAATATCAGAGTCAATTCTCCATATACCGTTACCCCCCTCTACCACCCCCTCCAGTCGATCGTTCAGCTATGAACCTGCTAATATCCACAATGTTGTACAAAATAACCCTTCTAGAGTCGGAACATAAAACAAATGCATAAAGAAGTTCTCTTCTGCAACAAGAGAGACAGTCTAGCCCTTGAGTATGCTCGCAACATACAGTTAAGTCACATTAAACACACATGTATGAAGTCAACTTCCCTGTTCGTGGGCTATCAATAGGTCTAAGCTACCTTGTGAGGTTTGTACATATTGTCACTGTGTTGGTTATGACATTTCGTTAATTGTGTTTGTTCAGTTTATCATTTTGTCTTTGTGATATGTGTAAGACTATGGTGTTAGATGTTCCAGTATACCCAGGTTTAAGATGTCCCAGGAGAGTGATTACGTGCTAACAGGTTGGAAGTGATCAGAAGTGAAGCTGTTTACATTGTCTGTGATTCAAGGTGCGGGACTTTCCGAAAGGGGACTTGCTACATACAGAATAGGAACACAACCGTTTAACGACATGTAATGCCTGTATTGAGTCGACCTGTTGTAGCCACGGACATACAGAAAAGATGTAGTGTACTTCTGATGACTGACATTTAACAACTATGCATACTGAAAGAGTGTTTCTGGCTTGTGTGTATTTCTTATTGGCTGCACACGATGAGTAAATAGGCAGATAGACTTACCATTGGTTTGTGTAGTTTAGTACGTGTACCAAGATTGTTCGTGTTGGCAACTGTAATTTCGTCAGAGTTCAATATGTTAAAAGTGTCTCTCCCGGACGTGTTTGCTTACTAATCTTTGAGTGAAATCGAGAAATTGCGACAATTTGATCTTGGTACTTGTAATGTGTTGTGACTAAAAGTACATACATGCAAAAACACAACAGCTTAAATGTTCAACTCCCCTGATGTCACTGAATGTAACAGCGCACTTGCACTTACACTTTCTAGTGTTGCTACACGATTTGTCAAGGAAACATATGGTGGTTTCAAACAGCACAAAGTTACATGTATTTCAAAACATATGATATGGAAATTCGCGTCAATAATTTTATTATACATGCTATTTCTGATACATTTGAGACCATTACTACAATATTAATTCAATATCCTGTATCAGACTTAGACGGTGATATATCAGTCATGACATCACTTCTGTAAAATGTCATGGGATTCGTTTGTATAATTTTATTGTCAGCAAAATACATAAATACACTTAATTTCTTGTGACAAATGTAATGTGATGATGAACGACTCCGCAGTTTCTTATTCAAACATCATGATTTCCTCAGTATTGTCTCATTTTCGACACACAGTATTACATTGACAATTGTCATAACTACATTGATGCACCTGTCACTTCCAGATCAATGTTGATTGCAGCATGTTTGTTTCAATGTGGTATTTAACTGAAACTGACGTAAAAATCTTTCGATTATATTTAGCGAAGTATATTTGACAGTGAACGAGTTATAATATATTCAAAGGTGACACCAGAACTGGGACGAGATGTATAGAGGGGTTGTCGAGGAGCTTTACAGTACAGCTTCAGTGTTCTGCCGGTGAACGGATACATGTCGAGCAAGAGGTGTATGGGGATGGAGACGCCGCGACATGTCGTCTGAAATCAGCTGAGTCGTGCAGTAAGGTCCACACCAGCACCCGAAATGGCCTGATCGCCAACTGTAATGGGAAACAGTCATGCCGTGAAACCATACACGCAACACCCCAAGCAAACTGTAACTTTACAGATGCTGCTGCTGAAGTAAACTACGGCTGTATCAAAGGTGACACTTCGTTTAGTTCTTGCTTGACGCAATCAACATGCGTTGTTTTCAGTAATATCACTTTCTGATTCAATTAAACCCACATGCATGATTTTAGATATAAACCCAATAGTCATAAATACATATGCGAATGTTCTGTACGTTCAAGAACCATGTTATTTTCCTTTTTCTATCAAAGGTTGATCTGGTCACAGCAGGTGTTTGCCGTTCATGGACAGTCGATATGGTCGTACATGACCTCATTCTTTGCAAGTCTTGTTATTGTCTGCACATCGCACAATACATTCATTGAAGCATGTATTTTCCTCCATGGTGGTTCCTGGAGTAGAACACACTAACACCCATGCAAATCGCAATGATAGGATGGTTACAAAGTGTTGTTCTGTCTAACCAACTGTCATCCTACTCTACATCTTGGCACGTTGCTCGTGTTATCGTGCACTGGTTTGCCCGATCAAGATTCCATTATTTGCAGGATGTTGTAAAGCTGGAACATTCTTTAGCTTTTCCCGATTATCGGATACACTGCATTCATGCGCACACCATGCTTTGGCATAATGCACAAAAATATTATTGTCAACATTTTTTACAAATATATGTGTTAAATTAAGGTTTGATTAAAATCAGAAAAAAATACTACTTGGCTCTATAAGTCTGATGCGACGGAGTGTAAGTGAAATTAAAGTAAGATTAATCATAGTGCGTAAACGTATAACGACATATAAGGGTGATGACGTGCATTGTTGTTTTTGCAACCTCTAGCCTGAAGTCTTATGATATGTCATATTATAATAGGGGCAAACAGGTGATCCAGTCGCATCCTAAGAACCTATCATCATTAGAATTGGTCTTCAGAAATTAAGCGGTGACTAACAGGATCAAGTGGCCAGGCTTACTGATTAGTGACTTGGTTGATTTTAGGCCATCGTATCTCAATTGCATTGGCCGATGCTCACGATGTAAATCATTGGATTGTCTGTCCCAGACTATTTGCAGTTCGCCGTCATGTAGATGTAATATTGCTGATCGTGGGTGCGGCGTTAAACAACAAACAAACAAACATCTGATAAGTTGTTAATTTTGCTGCGAGACACTGCAGGAATAATGTAAGACTAACAGGGTATGCTAGCTTGTTAATGTCATTGCAACATGGTATGTTAGCCTGTTGATGTCATTGCAACATGGTATGTTAGCTTGTTGATGTCATTGCAAGACTTACTGATGAGCCTTATGATGGACTAGCTCCATGGTCTCGTGGATGGAGTGTCTGCGTGGAGATCGGAACATGACAACATGTAACTGACATACAGAACACGCACACGTATTGCAATTCAGGAAACGGAACAAACAAGTGTATATTTTCTGTAGAGAATTAACACTTGTGTTATCAAGGAATCACGGTTCAACGTATCATGCACCATGCGATAACTGTTACTGGTTATGCATGTCTGGATTGTATCGGATCGAAAACGTCGTCCGTGATTTCACATCTCGAGGTGAGCGTGTAGTTCCTTGAGGCCACCACAACGATTTCACAAATGATTGAGGCAAAATTTAATTGCATTTACAACATCTATCGTGTTAGGCTTTTAGGATATGAAAATAAAGTCACATTGGACAATATCGAACGTATCGTGATCAGCGACATATTTAATTGTGGCTTTATGCATCTGTTGTGTCGATTATTTCGCATCATCACAATTCTAGTTCCTTCCATAGTAACATGTACGTATGAAACAAATATGGTAACAGGCATCATTTTACAGATAATTACATAGATTATTATTATTATTATTAATTAGTAGTAGTAGTAGTAGTAGTAGTAGTAGTAGTAGTAGTAGATAGTAGTATCAGTAGTATTAGTATTAGTATTATTTTTAGTAGTAGTAGTAGTAGTAGTAGTAGTAGTAGAAGTAGTAGTAGTAGTACCGGTAGTAGTACCGGTAGTAGTACCGGTATATAGACATCCTCATAAATGTGTTTAGTCTTGCGAACGAAATATTGTTCGTTACAATATCCATTAATACATCTTGACATGTCAATGTTACACGTGTATGAGTACCATATTTCTTTACCTAATAAGTGTTTAATTGCACCGACTTCTGTTTGTGATTGATGACATAACAAAACAACAAGCGCGTACGAATACTGGACTGCTTTCATAACATCTTTCACCACCATTGCCATCAATTATAGTATATGTTTTGTAATTAACACCCAATGGATACTGCAAACTGATTAAACTTCCTGACTGGGGCCTGACTAGACGCTCATGCCAACTGACTAGAACTACATGCCAACTGTCTCATGCATCATGACCTGAGTGTGACCCTGGTAATAATGCTATTACATTTCCAGTGATTCATGAGTGTTTCAGCTTCTGCCTTGATCAACCGGGCGCCAAAACGAAATCAAGAATACATGGGAGCAATTTGCTTTATTTGACCTGTTATGATACAATATGTCACTATTTTGAATACTAACATGTAAGTTGTTCTACTTGTTATATGCGTTGTGTTTCAGGTAGTATGAACATGTGTAGTTCAGTCAGCACAACAGTAAACGGGTTTGTGTACCTCCATTCCCCGGGATTCCCAGACAGTGTCGGTGTGAACGGTAGCTGTGTTAAGAGGATCACAGGGCAGGATATACGAGTAACATTGGTAGAAGAGAGGACAACGACAGGGAGTCTTAACATCTCAGGTGACGGGAGACAGATGTGGACAAGCGTGAACGTAGACCAAAACAACAGGGTGTTGCCGGGAACAGCTGCTGAAATAGTAATAGTCTACGATAACCATGATCAGAAAGGGTCAAATGTATGGATACGTGTTTCTGGTATGTATGAGAGTATACATCACATTTACCTTTGACGTGTCTCCTTATTTGATAACAATCAATTTATCAATAAATTAACAAATAGAATCTGCCGGTCTTGATTTGAATTGTGCCTCGCTTTCCGAGAAAATTATTTCAATCAAGTCAAGTGCGATCAATTTAATGATTAAATTCCTTTCATGAACCAATATATCCTGACAATAAAATATACATAGTTTCTGATTTGTTCACTGAATAATATTGAAAAATACAATTGTGACAGCCTCTCTAGAACTGCTAGTTCCTTCAAAGGAAAAGTACAGTGTAGCCATAATGAAAAGAAACCATCTTTTAACAATTTTCCGTAATACACTAATAAAATATGATGACTTTACTGGAATGCAGTAGGTTTCAACTTGTATTATACTGTATTCACAGTTATTTGCATGGTAACAAGTTCCTCAGTAAATAAATGACATGACCTACGACTCTATGGTCAGCTAGTTTCCCGTGTCCAGAAGTTGCATCACTTATTTAAGATCGACATGGAACTCGAACCTAGAGACTGCCACAGAAATTATTGTTCACAGCTTCAGGTCAAATGAACATAGCTAGGCGACAAACATTGGATGCATCAACCACCCCATCACCCACGTCAACACTGCAGCCATCACGTTCACAAAGTACAACCAGTCCGAGAAATTTGGACACACTGACCACTGCAGCAACAACATGTACACCTTTGACTTCTATGGGTGAGTGTCACCTGATGACGATGTTTCATGACCCTGGTCAACGGTGATCAGTTGGATTACCATTATATTTGTGTGGTTATGAGTATGAACATTTGTGATGACACGCATCTGAGAGGACTTGTGTGGTCGATGGCAACAGTGTTATTACCTTAAGTTTTCTTGTCTGTATCTAATTACTAGAACATGTAATAGCTTATATTGACTGTCCTGTAGAATACGTTTAAACATCATTACATCACTACTCCAGAAGGTGTGATCAGAGGTCCTGACTGAATGAAATGACTTGTCCCTTGTTTAATTAGTGACGAGAACTAGACTTCTATCCCTATATATTGTTCCTATTCTGTTAAGACTGAGTGAGTGAGTGAGTTTGGTTTAACGCCGCTTTTAACATTATTCCAGTTATATCGCGGCGTGTCAGCTTAATGTGGGAGGAAAGCCCGAAGTGATGCAGGTCTCAGAGGTTTATCACTGCGGTGAAACCAACGAGCACGGGTATGGTGCTGACAAACCTAGAAACATAATCGGGGCGAACCGGGATTCGAACCCACAATCATAGGTTTCTGGCGTGCCCAAGGGACGCAACTCTGCACAGCGAATCGCGGCGCTTTAGACGACTGGGCCACCCGTGCCCCCTATTCTGTTTAGAGGCAGAGAAATAGTTTTATTTTCTCTGTGTGTGTTTGTTTGCAGCACTATTATTGCAGCTATACGATGGCGGGTTGTAAATAATCGAAACTGGACCAGACAATCCAGTGATTGTTATTTGTGAGCAACGATCCACGCCATCAGGGTACGTAGATACACAATCAACCAAGTCACCGGGCCTGACCACCCCGATCCATTTGATCGCCTCTTAACACCAGCGACGGTTTCTGGGAACCTCGTGTATTCTTTTCCGGAATCCCCACGACGGCCATGCATCCTAACCACAGAGGAAATCACTCATTGTGTTTCATTTACCATACAGATTCACTAACTACGTCAATAGCCACAACGCTACGGATATCCAACGGCATCACTAAACTGTCTGAAAGAACTACCTATACTACTGCTCAGGGATCAACAGACACAATGGCATCCCTTACCTCTACAGCCATGTCATCAACACACACAGGTATCTATATGTACATGTAATAACGACAACCAATGACATTGTTATACAAAATATTGAAATAATTTCGTGAAAGAGTGTGTATGCACGTGTGTGTGTATACACACGCGCGCTCGTGTGTTTGTAAGCCCAAGTTGTGCATTAAAGGCACAGACAAAAGCAGAAATCTTCACGTTAAAGGCTTCATGTGTCTCGTTTCAGACAATGGAAGTATTGTTTTACCCTTTGCAGTGGTGTGTGGTATCATGGGTCTCATCATCGTAGCGCTCATCATATATATGTAAGTACATCAAACTGTTTGATTTTGTACGTGTGATATTATGGCACTTGGCTATGAAGTCAAAATGCAACCTTGTTAACATTATACAATGATCATATGCAAAACGTCTATTGCTACAGCATGGTAAACAGGCTATCCAGGAACTCGCACGGTAATTCATCTAATACTGAAACGTCAGTTCATTATGGTGTGCAGAGCATCCCTAATGGACCCCAGGGAGAAGATGACCTTACTCCCACCAGTGGCACCACCAACACATATTCTTGCCTCAGCCATGATGTTGAAAGAAATATCTACAATGTAATACAATGTAATGCAAGTGAAGACGGTGACGAGCATAGCTACGGTCACATAAACAGTAGTGAAGGACCTTCGTACGTCAACTCGGTCAGTGGAGATGATCCATACATTAACGCCTAGAGACAACACACAAGCTAGTGTTTCAGATTGTTGCAGCATATAGTACCATTATTCGCAGGTATAAGATCAGTCAGTGCGTATTTGCACTTATCAAGTATAACATGTCAAGTTCATGTTGTAAATTATGTCTCTTTATCATGTTCCATATATACTCAAAGCAATTGAAAACGCACTTCAGTGTTCAGAAGGTGCGTATTTTATTACAGTGAAAGAAAACCAAATGAAACCAACCAAAATAACAAACACCCATCACATGAAATGTTAGCAATAAAGTCCGTAAGAAACACCTCCGTCGATGACGTCACAGAGGCTCAGAACGTAGCCGGGACCACCAGGGATCAATAACAGGTATGTCCACCATATCCACTGACGTAAGCCTGAAGTCGCCGAGGCATGGACTGACAACGTTGTTGAATGTTCGCCAGTGATGTTGTAGGGGTGAGTGAGTATGGTTTTACGCCGCTGTTAGCAATATTCCAGCAATATCATGACGGGGGACACCAGAAAAGGGCTTCACACATTGTACCCATGTTGGGAATAGAAACCGGGTCTTCGGCGTGACGAACGAACGCTTTAACCACCAGGCCACCCGACCGCCCCTGATGTTGTAGGGACTGTGTCAACTCTGCTACTGTCTGAGGCGGTTGGTGTCAAAGCTCGTCCCACAAGTGTTCAATTGGATTCATGTCAGGTGACAAGGCAGGATGTTGTTCCTGGTCAGAAAGTCTCCCGTGAACCTTGTGGACGTGCATTGTCATGCTGGAAGACACGCTGGTGTAGGGCGCCATGTTGAGCCAGTAATTGCAATAGTGCTGGGCGAAGGGTATTATTCACATAATCTCGAACATTGAGGTTGCCTTGGATAACCACTGACTGTGGGAACGAAAATTGATGGTACTTCCCATACCATTGTACCGCCTCCTCCAAAGCGAGACCTTTCCAAAACACAGCGGCGTTGACGGGTCCCAAAAGTACCAAAAGGGAGAAAAGGTTGAAACGATGCAGCAGTCGAGTGCATGGATGGACGTAAACACGTCTGGCGACGATCACTTGAGTTGCCCCTTCTTGCAGCATTCCGATCGCTTGGTTCCTGCTGGCTTGATCGAGTCTTGGCATATTGAACAAGTGACGGATGACCATATCGTGGGTGCTTTTAAAGAACCTGGGATCTAGCTTTTCACGTGCAGCATGTGTCCAGCAACAGTGATTGTGTTTCGGTGCAGAGTGCACAGTTGCGTTTTTCTCTTTCTGATTCATTGCTCCAAGGTGGTTCGAACCCGAATTGTCACAAGGGGACACATATCTCTCAGAGAACCATCATGATGTTCGAAAAGGTTTTGGGCAATTGCTCTTTTCACAAGTACGCTCATCAAAAGCTATTGTGTTTTCAATGGCTTTGTGGTAAATCCTCGTTCCACCGTATTTTTCAAAGTTTCGTTTATCACCTGATCAATCAGCTTGCTTGATAATTATATTTAGTTTACCTGCTTTGTTTATTAAAAAAAATTAAGCTAAGCTTTGAACATATCTGGTTATGCTTTTTCACATTTCTTTGAAATAAAATAGTCGTCTGTATATTCAGTGTGAGACTAACCGGTGTTTGTACAAAGGCGAACGTATACATATAAACTTTATTTTGGTAATTATTTCTCTAAAGTTTGAAATTGTGTTCCATATTTGTTCCATATCATACACATACCAGTAAATCTTTATTCCATAACATTTCACAATATTTCATTTACCAACTGATCAATCAGCATGTTTGATAAATATATTTAGTTTATTTGCTTTGTTAGTAATTATTATTACTCTAAGCTTTGTACATATGTGGTTATGCGTTTTTACATTCCTTCCGAAATAAAATATTCATATTCCAATAATTATCTTTGTACATCATCCGATATTTTTTGGTTATTGATTCAACTACATGTTATGACGTTAGACACTTCTTAGATAAATCTGTTAACGCAAATGTTACATTACTTTCACATGGAACAGATATGTCTGGGTCATGAAATGTTTATTAACCTCTGCCATCTAATTTGATATCAGAACAAATTTGACATCAGATATGTGTCGCTGGCAGGTATCTGCATCGAAAGGCTATCAAAGACATGGAAATAATTAATAAACATTTCATTATATATAAAAGTCATAATAATAATAATAATAATAATAATAATAACAAATCTGCAGTGTATGATTCCGACTATATCATTAGTGTGCATGAATCTCTATCAAGTGGTGATGATACTAGGTGTTTGTGAAAATATAGGGAATTGTAACAGACATGAATTTTGTCAATGATATTTTAGTAATATAGGATAGTAAAAATCGGAGTGTTTGCGTTTTGGACATTTTAAAATCTGTACATTTAACGAACATAGACGTTTAGAAAATCATGAAAATAATGTTAAAAAGACATTGTTTAAATGCTTGGGATCTTAGCCATGGTTTAGAAGGTATGGCCACTCGGACCCCGCGTCTCGGGGTCTAACTGACCATGTCAAAGATTAAACACCGGGTGTTCGTGGTCTTAACTGTATCCATGCTGATGGGGAAAACTAACTACATAATTCACGAGTTGCGTCAATCTTGTTAATGATTACAGATATGTAACTTGTTATTTACGAAATATAGTCTTCTAAATTAATACCAGGTGGCGATATAGCACAATATGAAAACAATATTCTTCCTGAAGTCACGTTCACACTGACATGTAAATAGATAGCCCACATTTTCCGGGCATGATAGGCTAAGCACTGTGACGAGTGGTACTATTCATACGATCAGTCAATCTATTGTGCATTTTCCCTTTGGGTAGAGTCATGCTTTTCCTGTAAATGTCACAATGTGTTCAATGGCAATATTGCATTGGATATTGTAAATTCAGCAACACTTATCAGAAAGTCTGCATTGTCTTGTTCCACTTGTTTTGCATACATGGACATGATAGCACGGCAGTAAAACAAATTTGAAAGACACGGGACCCATGAAGATCCGGGGTAGAATAGGTCTTCAGCAACCCATGCTTGTCTAAAAAGCGACTCTGCTTGTCGTAAGAGGCGACTAACGGGATCGGGTGATCGGGTGATCGGGTGCTCGCTAATTGGTTGATAGATATCATGGTTGATGCATAGTTTCAACCAGACAATGGAGCTCGTCCAGTTCAGACTGTTTCTCAGTAACTATGACTTGTTGTTGGGCAGCAGCAGCAGTCCAACTTCTCCATCAACTCACTCACAAATGCATCCTTCTCTGCCAAACGGGTATGAAAGGCAATGGTAAGCGTGACACGGTAAACCTGAAGCCTTGAATAATATAACAGTTTGGATAATTGCACTGAATATTTAAAAATTGCGTGGGTATTTCAAGCAGCACATATGAATTGCCTATGTCAAATTCATTTGTCCGAGTTTGCTTCCGTTGGGTAGAGATCGAATGTTCGAATGCAATGTATATGTTCATATTTTCTGTACTCTATTTAGAAATACCCCTGATAATATAACACTAGGCAACTACATGTATATGATTACATACATGTATATGATTAACTTCCGCACTCTATTCCTCTTCCTCCGATAACATTGTGTTCATAGAACGCACTAGTTTGAAATATCACAATAGGGATCTAACAGGCATGTTAGTATCACAGGCAATGTCATAAATAAATCATGATCTTGGTTGATTATCGCCGGATTTAGTCTTTATCACAGACGGCCTCAGTGGTCTTGTGGTAGAGCGGAAGATCCCGGGTTCGATCCCCAGCCGCGTCATACCAAGAGACTTTGAAAGATGGTGCTTCTGTCTGGGGCTTAGCGTTTTTCTACCATGAATTTGGAAATTACTAGATTCCGATTTGTCAATCAGAGGCTATTAAATGACAATAAACCCATTCTTACTGAAATAGCTGATTTGACGGCTGCATCACCGCGGAAGCTAATATTTATAGAACAGTACTTTTTAGTCATTGTGGTATGGCATGTTTAAATAATTAAATCTACAATTACAGGTAACAAAAGTTGCGGTCACTACAATATTCAAAGGATGTCCGGCAATATATTTCGTGCAGAAAACACGATAGAAATCTACAAAGAGAATGTATTTTAAGTTTAAGAGACAACAGAGAGCTTGGAATTTGGCGTATTAGGCTGTAAACAAACTGCTTGGGTATATGCAGTGCCATATTTTGTTTTACAGGCAGTTGTCGGTTATTCCGTATTTCAGAACGACAACCCACTCAAAACACTCGACTCAACCCATGACGCTTCACTCAATATATTTGCTAACACCAAAGTGTCCGTGTTGTATATAGTCATGGTAGAATGGAGATAAACGTTCGGTTCCAAATTCAGTTAAGTGCAGGTAAATCTACAGATAACCTAGCTCTACATTGAAACAGTACGTTTGTTTCCTATATATAAAAAAACTACCTTCACACGTACATTTTGTGCTTAAGTACTCTTGTGACTCCTCGGGAGGGGATTTCTATTCCTGTGGAGACAATATTTATCACATCAATCTCCTCCCATGCTCCAAGCACAAAGTATACACATAATTGGATAAATATTCTCATTTCATTAGTTCAAATCTTTTATTGTAACAATCAAGGTTAGACACCGTTTCTGCTGGAAAAAAAGCATGTTCCGTGTTGACACTTTGAAACTGTAGTAGTAGTAGTAGTAGTAGTGGTGGTAGTAGTAGTAGTAGTAGTAGTAGTAGTAGTAGTAGTAGTAGTAGTAGTAGTAGTAGTAGTAGTAGTACACCCGTAGGGATTATTAAATACCCAACATGGAGGCGACTAACGGAAGAGGGTGGTATTCTCATTTCATTAGTTCAAATCTTTTATTGTAACAATCAAGGTTAAACACCGTTATCTGCTGGCAAAAAGCATGTTCCGTGTTGATACTTTGAAACTGTAGTAGTAGAAGTAGTAGTAGTGGGAGTAGTAGTAGAAGTAGTAGTAGTAGTAGTAATAGTAGTAGTTGTAGTAGTAGTAGTAGTAGTAATAGTAGTAGTTGTAGTAGTAGTAGTAGTAGTAATAGTAGTAGTAGTAGTCGTAGTAGTAGTAGTAGTAGTAGTAGTACACCCGTAGGGATTATCAAATACCCAACAGGGAGGCGACTAACGGAAGAGGGTGGTCAGGCTTGGTGACTTGGTTCATTGCATGTCACGGTATCGCAGTTGCGTGGATCGATGCTCTAGATGTCAATCATTGGATTGCCTGCTCCAGACAACGTTATCTAACTACCGCTGTCCTATACAAAGTAGCTGGAACATTGCGGAGTGCGGCGGTACACAACAAACAAGCAACACGATCAAATAAAAACGGCAATGTGACACCTAAACACAATCTACAACTTACTTCATACATAAACCAGCTATGAACAGGCTACACGTCTATATAAGCTAAATGCGGGAGGAAAGACATATTAGCGTAACCGGCGAGCACCTGTTTGATGCTGACAGTCCATCAATTTTCCTAATCGGGACGAGCCATGTTGAGCAGTCTGATCTCAGTACTAAGGTGAACAACTCTTCACAGCCTATGGCGGACCTAACAACATGCGACAAAGGCCCTCAGCAATTTATCAGCGCAAGTGATCCCGTGTAACTGTCTTCCTATCTATGGACGAGAAAACCTGAAGCCACAACCCAGTTCAACACAATAACACAATTTATCCTCCCACAAAGACTCTACTTTATTGCTTGAATAACACTTCTCTTCCCTTTGTGTTGACCGAGGGGCTTTCTACCCCGTTTGTAATGAGATGTGTTGTGTTTAGTCTATACGCGTATTGAATAGACGCAGAATGTTCATCTATTCAATGACATTTGCTGTTAGAAACGGCCAAGACGCTGTCAGTAGTTCGTGCAAATGTTATGATTTATGAGGGCAGCCTTTATGTATAAAAGAAATATAATATAATAACGCATATACGTATGTGACTATATGTGGTGTCAGTGTGACATACGATTGGTGTTATATATAGCGCGACACAGCACTATCGTATACAGTGGATTTGGTGGTTGGATATTATGGAAGTTGTCAATCTGTTTTAATGTTGGAATATACCAGGATACCATCAAAATGAGTGAAAAACAACCACTATCAAAGGTAGGAGAAGCATTTAGGACATAAACTGCAGCGCAAAAGAAGGTAAACCCTATTAATGGTGGCTGAACATGAAACAAACAAGAAATTGCAATTCGACGGCAGCGAATTTGATACGAGCGTCATAGCTGGGTTTTGGACTAAGTCTTAATGGTTGTAGTGTTTCGGCGACTGTTTCAGCTGCGGAACGTTTAAATAACATGTTTTGGTTAAATTCAATTTTCAAGATTATGTGTTACTATCTTTTGCCAGTCAGATTATATACATGGGTGTGCGATATGGTGCGCTTGGATGTGGTTGAGTGTTACTAAACTCTGTCCAACTCTTGTATTCCCGTCCTTTAAAATTGTCTTGTTCTCGTTCGTGATCTTATTGACGTACGTTATCCCCGATTATTAATATATTATATCACTTTATCTGCTGCACGATTGCTACATACCATACAAAATGTCGCATGTTGAAGTTGGGACACTGCACAACGTATAATCTGTTATGAGGGATTTATATCTATCATAGATCTCCGACTACGTGATGGCAGGTATATCAACTACCCTTATAGAACAAAACCTTGTTAAATTGAACAAAAACTACAGCGAATTTTCCGCAAAGAAAACCGTGGTTCAGATGTAAACATATTGCCAACAAGGACATTGTTGGGACCATTCAATACATTGTCTTAGAGGTCTAGGTATATCGAGCTGACCCGGTTTATATCGTATATGTTTGGAAGGTAAACAGGATGTATATTTATCCAAGTTATAACCATTTTGACTTTCCTTTAATATATGTCTGAAGCTAGGTACACGTTTTATTAATATTTTTATTTTGCTATTAATTTTATTCCATATATCACAAGGGCGGTGGAGCAGGGTTTTGGTTAAAGCGTTCGCTTGTGACACCGAAGGCCGGGGTCGATTCTCCGCCTTGGTACACTGTTTTAAACAGTTTCCAGGTGGCTAGAATATTGGTAAAAGCTGCGTAAATCATTACTCACTAACAAATAGAGACAGTGTCTAATGTGGCACCTCGACCTTCCTCGGTCGATTATAATCCTCTCTAAACCTTACCAACAAATGACGCCAGCTGTTACCATTCAAGCAGCATGTAACATTCTGTGAATTAATACTTCAGTCAAAGTATGGATTTAAAAGCTATATTGAATTTGATTACATCTACCAATCTGACTATTACAATCCGCTATGCATAGTACTAGAAATGATCACAATAAAAGTGTTTTGACATTGATGGAACATTTAAGGGGGGTAGTACTCAGACAACTGGCCGTCGAAGCAAGAGTGAATGAACTCATTCTACTTATAATGGGCATCATGCCGTTCAGTATAAACCTTTAAACTGCAAAGTTCTGAAAAATGCCAAAAGGGTACATTTTGAGTATTAACCTTTTCTCTGTTCCATGTATATTTACAATATTTAGTAGATTATGCTTTATCTTTGTAAGAGAAGGTGAGGTCGGGTAGCCTAGTGGTTGAAACAGTCGCTTGTCAAGCTGAAGGCTCGCGTTCAATGCCCACATTGCGTTCGATGTGATTGCCGTTTCCGCTGTCCCCGTCGTGATATTCTTGGAATAAATGGGGCTTAAGTCCCAACTCAGTCACGCATATCGTAGGAGGAAAAATGTTTTTTAAACTTTTTGTCTGTCGTTCCAGAAACAGCTCAAGCTGAGGAGTGGTAAAGTTGTTCCGCCACTTTTCCCCGAGGAGGTACCGCCACACACGAATAAGCGTCCAGTAAGATATTCCTCCCTCGATAACTTCCCTGACGCCATATCACCAACACGATCTCTCGGCAATGCCCGAACTTGGACATCCAAGAGCGGAACACAATCGGAGAGAGACTTCCTTCTCCTCCGGAAGATGATTGAAATGGGAGAATTCCAACGACCCAATGAGAAACTTCCTTTCAAAAACCGACGACTCAAGGCCCAGGAGAAGAGAATAGACACTCCCCCAACCCCGAAGCCATGTCAAAGACAACCAGTACGATCGAAATCTACTTCCAGGAGAGTGCCGGACCGATTCAACTTAGGACAAATAAAACGGATCTCCATTGCTGACTTTCGACGCACGAAAATGCCCGGATTTCTGAGTTTCGTTTGTCAACGGAAACACGCACCGGTGGATCTACTGGAGAAAACACGATCGATTCACTGTGACCTGTTTGGTCCGGGTCTGTGTCCAGATTGCCAGAAGTTGGAGAACAGGTATGACTTTACCCAGGCCCAAGATGACCTGTTTCCTTATCTGAAGGTCACCTCCCGATCCTTGGTGGCGGCTCCTAAACTGAAGAACCAACCAACGCCGATCTATCTTCAGGGTAAATGGCATCTTTCCGCGAAGAAGGAAGCTGGGACTAAAGCCCTGGGGAGTGTGTACACTCAGCTGGATCTGTATCACAGGATGGTCAGGGACAAGGAGGGGAACAAGAGATGGGATCTTATGACGTATGGCTAGCTAATGTTAAGCCCTACCGATATGTACTCAAGGGCCAAACAACAATGATCATCAGGATTTATTTCCTTCTAAAATTACATTAATGTTGATGGACTTCTTCGCGTTTGAGAATGTGTGACTTTTAACCTCGGGTGATGAAATATCAACGTATTGCCTCACCAGAACTGCACAGAACATGCCATAGTATATGCTTTGAAACAGAGGTATACAAGTGTCAATTTACATTTCTTATTGAAAGTAATTGTTCGTTTATTACGCATGATGTTTTTTATCATTATGTGAATATTATCAATGTGTACAACATAGTACCTGCCGATGAATGTTGTTATCTCCGGCATGTTTGTTTGTTTGTTGCTTCAGGCCGCAATATTCCAGCTTCATGAAGGCCGTCCGTAAAAAAATTATTCGGGACCAGATAATCTAGTGATTGCTATCATTAGCATCGATGCGCGCATTTGAGATATGACATGCAATCAACCAAGTCATCGATCCTGAACACCCAATCCCTTAGTCGCCTCTTACCACAAGCATAGTCGCCTTTTACGGCAAGCATGGGTTGCCGAAGAACAGTTCTAACCCGGATCTTTACGGGGTAGACAGCTTGTAGTCATTGACACGCAATAAGCCAGGTGAGACATTTCGACTGAAAGTCTGCTTGTGCGGCAAGCATGGGCAACAAGAGACCTGTCCTGGTTCGGAATTCCCAAGAGGTCGTCTAGTGCGCTGCTACTGATCAATCACGATCGATTAATTGCAAGATTAATCAACATAAATGGTTCAAATGTATGCCTCTGAAATTGATGACATCAGTGATGACATCAGGTGAAGGCTTTGTAATGAATTGGTCGATGAAGCACCAGTAAAAGTAAATCATTCTCCTGTTACGGAGCTGGCTATTGGAGCGGGTTTATTTACATGCTGTGCGTGGGTGTAATTATAAGTGTTATGTGTGTTTAAGACATATCTCTGTAGAGCCGCATCATTAATGTTTTCTATCATATTTCACATATCACAGCAACAACTATATATTGTTACCGCCTGTTATGTGCAAATAGTTTGTCGCACCATTTGTATCTGCAAGTCTTTCTTCCTACTGATCAAATATACATATGGACAGTACTTCTCATTTACTTTTTGTGAAATACCATAATTGATATTATAATTATATCAAGAAAAACTCAGAAGCCCAACCAATGCTTGTGGAAAGAGGCAACTAACGGGACTTGCTTGATTGCATGTCATCGTATCCCAATTGCGTAGATCAATGCTCATGGTGTCAATCACTGGCTTATCTGGTCCATAATCGATTATTTACAGACCACCGTCATATATGTGGAATATTGCAAAGTGCGGCGTTAAATAACAAACAAACAAACAACCCGAGGCCTTGTTCCTGCATCAACTACCTCATATGTCAAGTGGTTATTTGTAAACGAATTCTTTTCAGTTACGCATGAATGAATAAATTACAATTTTTTCTTTTGTGTTTCCATTAACCTTGACACAATAGGCCACGCCGACTAGCGGGCTACTGTTTCCTGACTGGAGGATAATAGAGTGGGCGGGACATGGTTGTATTGTTATGACGAACTGCGTCACTTATTTCGTATCGTTGTGTACAGTTTTTTATGATTAAATAGCCAGTCTGTGAAGTTATTTTTGTTGACCTCTTTCTTTATAATAAGTGGTATCGTTATTTTTGTGTGTCCACCTGTTTTTACGTTCATATTTCGAAAACAAATTTAAGCCAATTCTTAGAAAACGTCTGACGATATGAAGACATGATATCTTTGTCTGCATGATGCAACCAAGTCAGCGAGCCTGGCCACCCGATCCCGTTTGTCGCCCCTCGATAAGCATAGTTGCCTTTTACTGCAAGCACAGGTCTTCAGCAGCCAATGCTTACCGTAAAAGGCGCCTATGCTTGTCGTAAGAGGCAACTAACGGGATCGGGTGGTCAGACTCGCTGATTTGGATGAGACATGTCATCGTGTCCTAATTACGTGGATCAATGCTCATGATGTCAATCACTGAACTGTCTGGTCCAGACTCTATTATTTACAGATCGCCGTCATATAGCTGGAATATTGCTAAGTGCGGCGTTAAAAAAACAAACAAGGAAACTAGCTGTATAATGTACCCTTTGCTATTGCTAAACATCTGAGTCTGTAACAGTTTATGAATTACCTATTGCACACAATATGTGATGATAAATAATGTAGCTTAAGTCAACATGATCTGGCACCGCCACAGGGCACTCGGCTATTTACAGACCCCTGTGATGTACCAAGAATATTGCCAACTGTGGCTTCAATCAAATTCACTCACTCCAACATGGAGTATTATTCTTTTATTTGGGCCCATCAGTTTAATGAGGCAGCAAAACAATGGGTCGTGGACTACCACACCGTGAGGCATACACGGATAGGCCTGACATATGGGATTATAGGATAATATGCTACATAAGTTGTCCCCAGGTTCACAAACACAAACTAATTAACCGTATGAATATTTTCCGTAATCCAGTCAGAACCGCATGTAAATGAAAATATTTTCTGTACTCTGTTCTGCACCTTCCCAAAGCCCCAAGGAAGTCATAAGAGATAGTAGCTGCAACAAGAGAGTCAGTCTAGCCCTTGAGTATGCTCGCAACATACAGTTACGCCACATTAAACACACATGTATGCAGTCAACATCCCTGTTCGTGGGCCACCAGGGACGTTTTATGAAAGCATATGTGCTATCAATAGCTCCAAGCTACCTTGTGAGGTTTGTACATATTGTCACTGTGTTGGTTATGACATTTCGTTAATTGTGTTTGTTCAGTTTACCATTGTGTCTTTGTGATATGTGTATGACTATGGTGTTAGATGTTCCAGTATACCCGAATGATTCCTGGGGACACAATGACAGATTTAAGATGTCCCAGGAGAGTGATTACGTGGCAACAGGTTTGAAGTGTTCAGAAGTGAAGCTGTTTACATTGTCTGTGATTCAAGGTGCGGGACTTTCCGAGAGGGGACATGCTACATACAGAATAGGAACACAACCGTTTTACGACATGTATGCCTGAATAGAGTCGACCTGTTGTGTATCCACGGACATACAGAAAATTTGTAGTGTACTTCTGATGACTGACATTTAACAACTATGCATACTGAAAGAGTGTTTCTGGCTTGTGTGTATTTCTTATTGGCTGCACACGGTGAGTAAATAGGCAGATAGACTTTCCATTGCTTTGTGTACTTCAGTACGTGTACCAAGATTGTTCGTGTTGGCAACTACATTTTCATCAGAGTTCGATATGTTAAAAGTGTCACTCCCGGACGTGTTTGCTTACTAATCTTTGAGTGAAATCGAGAAATTGCGACAATGGTTGCCATTTGATCTTGGTACTTGTGATTTGTTGTGACTAAAAGTACACACATGCAAAACACAACAGCTTAAATGTTCAACTCCTTTGATGTCACTGAATGTAACAGCGCACTTGCATTTACACTTTCTAGTGTTGCTACACGATTTGTCAAGGAAACATAAGGTGGTATCAAACAGCATAAAGTTACGTGTATTTCAAAACAGTCTATCAGATATGGAAATTCGCATCAATAATTTTATTTACGCAAATACATTTTTTATATTTTTGATAGATTTGAGACCATTACTACAAAATTAATTCAATATCAGTCATGACATCACTTCTATAAAATGTCACGGGATTCGTTTGTATAATTTAATTGTCAGCAAAATACATAAATACACGTAATTTCTAGTGACAAATGGAATGCGATAATGAACGACTCAACAGTTACATAATGAAACATCCTGATTTCCTCAGTATTGTCTCATTTTCGACACACAATATTACATTGACAATTATAAATACATTCATGCACCTGTCACTTCCAGATCAATGTTGATTGCAGCATGTTTATTTTAATGTGGTACTTACCTGAGACTGACGTAAAACCCTTTCGAATATATTTAGCGAAGTATATTTGACAGTAAACGAGTTACCTTATATTCAAAGGTGACACCAGAACTGGGAACAGATGTAAAGAGGGGTTGTCGGGAACCTTCACAATACAGCTTCAGTGTTCTACTGGTGAACGGATACATGTCAAGCAAGAGGCGTTTGGGGATGGAGACGCCGCGACATGTCGTCTGAAATCAGCTGAGTCGTGTAGTAAGGTTCACACCAGCAGCCAGAATGGCCTGGTCGTCAACTGTAATGGGAAACAGTCATGCCGCGAAGCCATGTCCGCATCAACCCTTACCTGTAACGTCACAGATGCTGCTGCTGAAGTAAAGTACAACTGCATCAAAGGTGACACTACGTTTAGTTCTTACTTGACGCAATCAACTTGGGTTGTTTTCAGTAATATCACTTTCTGATTCAATTAAACCCACATACATGATTTTAGATATTAAACCCAATAATGATAAATGCATATGTGAATGTTCTGTACGTTCAAGAACCATGTTATTTTCCGTTTTCTATCAAAGGTTGATTTGGTCACAGCAGGTGTTTGCCGTTCATGTACAGTCGATGTGGTGGTACATGACATCTAACCTCTTTCTTTGCAATTCTTGTTATTGTCTGCTTATCGCACACTACATTCATTGAAGCATATATTTTCCTCTATGGTCGTTCCTGGAGTAGAACACACTAACATCCATACAAATCGCAATGATAGGATGGTTACAAAGTGTTGTTCTGTCTAACCAACTGTCATCCTACTCTACATCTTGGCACGTTGCTCGTGTTATCGTGCACTGGTTTGCCCTATCAAAATTCCATTATGTGCAGGATGTTGTATAGCTTTTCCCGATTATCGGATACAGTGCATTTATGCGCACACCATGCTTTGGCATAATGCAAAAAAATATTATTGTCAACATTGTTTACACATATATGTGTTAAATTTAGATTAAAATCAGAAATAAATACTGCTTGGCTCCATTAGTCTGATGCGACGAAGTGTAATTAAAGTTAGATAAATCATATTGCGTAAACGTATAACGACATATAAGGGTGATGACGTGCATTGTTGTTTTTGCAACCTCTAGTCTGAAGTCTGATTATATGTCACATTATAATAGGGACAAACAGGTGATCCAGTCGCATCCTAAGAACCTATCATCATTAGAATTGGTCTTCAGCAATTAAGCGGTGACTAACAGGATCAAGTGGCCAGGCTTACTGATCAGTGACTTGGTTGATTTTAGGCCATCGTATCTCAATTGCATTGTCCGATGCTCACGATGTAAATCATTGGATTGTCTGTCCCAGACTATTTGCCGTCATGTAGATGGAATATTGCTGATCTTTGGTGCGGCGTTAAACAACAAACAAACAAACAAACAAACAAACAAACATCTGATAATT